TATGTGTATTGCATCCTAATGAGAAAGATAATTGAACCGAACAGCCTGACTCCTCATTTCCTCGTAGAAGCTTTTCCTCCTGTGCCCCTACGATGCGGGAGCCAGGTGAGACAGAGACACACACAGATCGCCCAGTTACACACAGAACCAATACCCCCTTCCTTCCTTTTATATTCAATTCAAATCCTACTTTGGTCACTGGAAACTAAAGGAGTCCTGGCTTATCTGTCTATGAAAGGAGCCCCCCTGACCCAGGCCCGTGGCCGTGATGATGACACCCCATCCTCTCAGTCAGCCAAGACCGTCTGCAGGTGTCCACAGACCTCCTCTCTCTCTGTCCCTCCCTGTGAGCTCCCCACACCATCCTCACCATCCCAAGGAACACAGCATGGCCAGCAAGAAGATGCAGCAAGAAGATGCAGTAGAAATGCTGCCTGGGTGAACTTCTCTCAGGGACAGCCTGTCTCTGTCCTTATCACTAGGGGAGGCTCTGGGTGGTTCCGTGGTGAAGATATGTGGCTGTTAACGGAAATGTTGGATGTTTGTGTTTATCTGAGGGCAGCTCAGGAGACAGGCCTGGTGATCTGCTATGGAGGACAGCTCTGCTCTGACACGTGGATTGCCATAAATCGCAGTCCAACTCGACCCTAATTGGAGTGCGCTGGGATCTACTGGGAGGAGGGGACCCCAGGATCTCCATGAGGGGTCTCTAAGGGACCCAAGAGCAGATTTGCCCAGCCTCCAGTCTCCAGGCCTTTGAACATGGCTGGTTCTACCCTGTCACCTCTTCCAGGAAGCCTTCCCTGCCTTCCCCCCCCCCCCCGTAAGCAGTATTCACAAACCCCTTGGAGATCTTCCAGTGTGGGCTGCCAGACACCCCACTCCTCCCCAACCAGAGTCCCTGCCCCGGGAAGAGACATATCACAGGACACTCATTAGCATAAGCCTGTACCTTGTCAAGTTCGGACTTTCAAGTTTAAAGAATCTTCTAAGGATAATTGCACCTTACACACTTGCAGCCCATTGTTTGAATACTTCCAGGGACAGAAAGCTCACGACCTCCAAGGAAACTTAACTCATTGCTGTTGGGTTTTCACAGGCTGTAAAATTGCACAGGAGGAGACCGCCCATCATTGCCCCGAGGAGTCACTGGTACACGTGAACCAACAGGGAGGATCTTCTCTTGGGTTAACAATGTGACTCCCTATGAACTGTGTAGCCAGAGCTCCTTGAACAGCTCTAAATGAGACCACTTTGGGTCCCCTGAGTGATGACTCAGCTCAGCCCACCCCTCCCCAGAGCCTCAGCCCAGCTACCCTGCCCCTGACCCCCTATATAAAGACCTGGCCTCATTCACTGTCCCTGTACTCTATTGGGCCCTCAGCAGCCCTTTTCACCTGTCTCAGTAACTCTCTTCATCTCTAAATCTCCCTTCATCAAAGGAGCTCTGGTAGCCTAGTGGCAAGAAACTCTGCTGCAACCCCAAAGGCAGTGAGTTCAAATCCACCAGTTGCTCTGTGGGAGAAAAATGGGCAGTCTTCTCCCATGCAATTAACTGTCTCTGAAAATCTGCTGGAGGGTCAGCTATGGGTCGGTTCCAATTTGATGGTACACAAGAACACAGTTAGCACTGCTAACCCATACACAGTATTGGTCTGGTGGTTCATTACACCAGCACTGAGCTGCTGAGGTGTTCATGCAAGTTGTTACTACCTAATACCTGTCCTTCAGGCCAGTTCTGTGAGTCTATTCCTCTCACTCCTGGCTGTGTCCTGTCTCTTGGCCTCAGGGGGTGGGGGTTCTCTCTCTGCCTGGCTGTATCCTGTCTCTCGGGCTGAAGGTTTCTGTCTCTTCCCTCGTAGTCCTCTCTGTCCTTCCTCCAACAGCCACAGGACCAGACGTTCAGACAGATATGTGAGTAGGGCCCCATCTCTCTTTAGGAAAGACTAAATTGTTGTGCTTGGTCTGTAGATGGGTGTTTTTTCACCCCGTCCCCGTGTAACAGAACAGAAAAAAGGCTTGGCCTGAATTCTTGGTCTGTAGATGCTGGTTCCTGAGGATTCGGTGCAACACTGAGAACTGGCCAGATGAGGGCGCCAGAGACAACACGAGCTGCAGCCCTAACTAAAGCCAGAAACCTGGGCTTGAGTGGAGTCAGGTGGGGTGGCAGGGCTGCTGCGTGACTTAGGCAGGCTGACGTTCCTTCCCTCCTGAGGCTTCTTCATTTCCAGGACATCAAGCTTGGCTTTGAAGCTGTATAGATTTGGGTTCAAATCTGCCTCTTACTAGCTGACATCTGTCATCACTAACATCAAGGAAGATCACTATTTGGGATCTGAATAGGACATCTCGGGAAGACAGGGGTAGTGATGCCCCCATTATTGAAGGTATGTTATTCAGGGCCAAATTGTGATAGGACCTGGGGCACGGAACACAAGTGGCCTGCCCCTTCCACTCTGACGCTTTGCAGTCCGAATGTGGAAAGGCTTTGGCATTGTTTGCAAATGACAGTCTGGAAGCAGACCTGAGGATATAGCAAGCATAACATCCTCCCAGTCTTACAGGGCAACAGGCAGCTGGGTCTGAGCGGGCAATCTCTCTCTTCCAGACAAGGTCAGGAGAGAAGCGGAGGGTGGTGGACTTCTACATCTGTCCTGGGCTGCCATCACAGCACCAGGGTCCCCATTACAATGGTTTCCCAGAGGCAGAGCTGAGGCCTCAGGGTCAGGAGGTCTCAGCTATCACCCTGGATTCGCTGTCCATCTGCTGTGTGATTCAGGAAGACCATTGCTCCTCTTGGGAACTCAGGCTCCCTCAAAGCTCAGATAAGACCCCTGATGTAAAAGTGGCTTGTGAATGGTACAGACGCAGTGGCAAAAGAGGTGTCCAAAGGCTAGTCCTGGCCCCAGCTCAACCAGCTCTGTGGACTTGATGGGGTCTTGAGACTACATGGGGTGAGAGCAAAGGACATTTTGGATATCAGAAACTCTGGGGTGACCAGGACCATGTTGTCACTGTTTGGGCTCCTGGCTGGCCCACCTGATTGGCTCCATTCAGCAGTCCTGGCTTGTGCCAACAGCAATAGACAAGCTGCTGTTAGATACTGAATTTCAGCCAAGACTTCCAGGGACCTGCAAACAACAGATCGGAACCTTGCCCTATTCTCTGCTTTCCTCACCATCTCTGATAGCTTAAGCCCACTGTTAAAGTCACTGTGGCAATGATGTCTTTTCCCAAAGACTAGCCTTTCTATTCAATCATCTGCTTTGCATCTGAAAGCTGGACAATAAGTAATGACGACAGAAGAAGAACTGATGCTTTTTTTCTGTGGTGTTGGAGAAGAGCACTGAATATCCCAGGGACGGCCAAAGGAACAAACAGATACTCATGTCTTGGAAAGCGCAGCCAGTGTGGTCCTTAGAGGCAAGCATCGTCTCACATACTTAGGGCATTTTGCTAGAAGAGACTATTTCTTAGAGAGGAACAGCATGCTTGGAAAGGTGGAGGATTAATGAAAGAGAGGACGACCCTCAATGAGATAGACTGACACAGTGACTGTAGCAATGGGCTCAAGAATATCAGAGATCATAATGATTGCACAGGATAGGGCAGGGTTCAGATCTGTCGTTCATAGGGTTGTTATGAGTTGTACTCAACTCAGTGACACCTAACAACAACAAAACCCCTCCTGACAAAACGCCCAGAGTATGTAAGATGACATTCCACTGTGCGTGACTCTGAGGAACACCCTGGTTGCACTTCCTCTAAGATAGACTTATTTGTTCTTTTGGTCGTTCGTGGGCTAGTCAGTTCTCTTCTCCAGCACCACAGTGCAAAAGCTTTAGTTCTTCTGTCATCCTTATTCATTGTCCATAGACCAGAGGAAGCAGCAAAGTCAGACCAAGACTGTTAGGCAGCCCTGGGGCCCCAGAAGAGCCAGAGCCCCCTCAGTGTCCCTCAGGCATCTAGAGGCCATCTGCAGAGTCAACATGAATGGATATGATGCCCCCACCACAAGGCACACTCCTCAGGACACATCCACTCGTGTGACAAGTCTGGTCACATGAAGGCACAAGAGCAACAGAGTTGTGGGTAGGACACACACGTGTACTCACACAACACATATGTGAAGCCACTGTCAGACCTGTCTTGACTCCCAGGACAGTCAGGCTACAAGGTCTTCCCCCCACCCCACCCCCGAGCCTGTGCTCTGGGAACTGTGAGAGTGGTTGAGACACCTAGAAGGGGGCTTGTCATCCCTGGGACCAGAGCAGACCTCAGGCCGCTGTCTGAGCACCATGAAGGACCAGGACTTCAGAACCTGCAGTTTTCTCTGCTCTGCTGCTGTGGGCTGATGAGTGGATTCAAATGCACAATGACCTCAGATGACAGTTCTGTCGTCCAGAACCGCCCAGTGGGGTTTCCAAGGCTGTAACCTTTACGGGGACAGATAACCAGGTCTTTGCTCCCGTGGATCAGCTGGTGGCTGCTTTCCATTTGCAGCTGCTCTTAACCATTGCTCCACCAAAACGCCTTTTCTCCACTCCAGGGGCCTCAGCCACGGAAGGGACGGTGGCCGCAGAGCTTGGTCCTCTCTGGCCTGTAAGGTGGGTGTGGATCTGTTTCTGAGGAGCACCCAGGGTTGAGAGGAGATCAGAGGTGGAAGGGCCACGTGAGTGTGGTCTTGAGGGGGGGGAGGCAGGGGGCCTGGCCTCAAATGTCACACATCCTGTCAAGGAGCAACCAACACTTAGTGCGGCAGAGACTCCAGCTCACCATCAGCCCTGGGCCAGGCTTTCACTTCTGCCTCAAGGCCCCCATGTCAGCAGTTAGCAGCTTTGTCCACTCCTTTTGGACAGCCGTGGGGGTTTATTAGGAATATATTCCAGTGGATACAGAGGAAAGGGTCTCCCTAGCATCATGGGGAGTATCCCAGAGCTGAGCACAGACCCAGGTTTGGGGGTGATGTGAAAGGACAGCGGGATGGAACCCAGACTCACCCAACCACGTAGACCAAGACGACGAGCTGGATCAGTCGGAAGATGATGCCCACCTTCTTGTTGCGCACGAGCACCATGCGGGGAGTGTCATACTCGAAGAAGAAGGCGGCCAGCTCGTCCTGCAGCCGCCGCGCCATGGCGGCCCGGAGAGGGGCTGACAACGACCCCCCCCTCCCCGCACCAGATAAGTGGGGTGTCACACCACAACCACGGCTGGCCTTCGGGGGGAACTCCCAACCCCTCAGGCAGGACAGGTGGAACGGATGCGGGCAGAGGTCAGGCTGCAGGAGCCTGGGCCGAGTGGTGAGCCCGTAGGTGGTCAGAGCAGTTTTTGGCCAGTGCAGGCGATGGTTCAGGCCAGCGCTCCCGTGGACGAATAAATTCCCCAAGTCAGATGGGGGCGGGCCCGAGGGGGCCACCCAGGCCCCGCCTGCTGCCCCTTCTGGCTCCTCCTGGGCTGCTGGCCTCCGGAAACAGTTGTTGGCAGGAAACCACAGGCAGCCCATCACTGGGGCAAAGATAAAGCTGTCAGACCCCCAGAGCATGGGCCCTGCTTGGAGGGGAGCTGGGAGGCCTTAGCCCAGAGCTTTCAGAAAGCCAGGGAGCCATCCTCACCCCCAGAATCCTCCTCTCCTCCAGACCCCTGAGGATGGGAGCTGCAGCCAGCAGGGCAGAAGAGGAAGGAGGGCAATTCTGGTCTGGCTGACACTTTCTGTGCCCGTGGCAGGACCTCCACCCCTGCGCTGTCCCGGTGGACCGCCTCCTGCCCACCCAGACCTGAAATGGCCTGAAATCTTCTGCCCATCACTGCTATTGCTTCACCTACCGCTAGAGCAGAAAGGAAAGGAGGGTCCTCATAACATGAGGAGCCAGGACCTAGCCGTTGACGCCTGCCTGGCCGGGTCCAATATGCCTGCCACTCTGGTTATGAGGGTTCCAACAAGCTGCTACCCTCTCTGAGATGGCTTTCTCATCTGTAAAATGGGCACATGGTCCTTTCTGCCTAAATGAGGACTCTGGGGAACAGAGCTTGATAACATAAGAGCTAGAGGCCACTAATGAACTTGGGGTACAGACCCTCTGCAGTCCCTAACTCCATCGACCCCAGGCCAGCCCTTGCCCATGGGGCTTCCAGGTAAGGGCTGGGGGGATGGTCTGGGGAGGCTGCACGTTGCTGACTCCTGGACCCTCATTATTGGTTTTGAAGACAAGAAACTGAAGCTCCCAGTAGAAGAGGAACTGGCCAGCTTGAGCTCAGAGCAGGAGCCTCGCTGCCCATCCACCAAACCTACTTGGGGTCCCCAAGTCTCCCAGAGGGAGCATCCCTCCAACTGGTCCCCTGTTTCCCCCAGGCGGGAGGAGTCCTCTTCCCAGGAAATTATTAGTTGGGAAATGGCTCTGGGCAGGCAGCCAAGTCCCTTCTCGAACCTGAGACCAGTCCTCTCAGTCAAACAGATCAGTCTCACTCAAGGCTCCCATCCAATCAGTGGAAATGTCTTATGCACAACTGAAGACAAGAGGGGCTGGTAAGAGCCTGTTCTGAGCTTTTCTGAGGAAAATTCCAGAGCCTTGGAGAGCCCAGTGGCAGCCACATACCCTTGGCTGGGTCCTGACCCTGGACAAAAGGGCCCCTGCCTTTCCCAGCTGACCCACAGCCCTTGGAACCGGAGGCCCTGAACATAAGCTGTTTGGGAAGGGAGGTGGTTGAATGGGTGCCGAGGCTGGTTCTGAAGTATCTCTGGGTTTAATATCCCACCACCCCCCTGCCACATTACACTGAGGAGAGCAAAGGGGCTGAATGGGGGAAGGGAAGGAGAGAAGAGGGAGGAAAGGCGAAGTCCTCATCCTGTCACCCTACCCCGCTTCTCTGTTCCCAAGGAGAGCTGTTGCTGACCACCAAATCAAATGACGAGCAGCACACATGCTTGGGGGTATACACTTGTGTTTCTGTTGCAGCCTCAGTGCTGACATACCCAGACACTCGGAAAACAGCTTGGCATGGAGGACAGTTTCATTCGGGGATGTTCTCATGGGACCAACTCTCTAGTGGGTTTTCAGAAGCTGGAATGGGAGTAGATTGCTAATCTTTTCCCAGCAGAACTGCTGGTAGATTTGAACAGCTAGAGAGGTGTCAGCAGTGCAACTCCACATGGATGATTCATCAAAAGAATGATTCTCCAAGCAGAGTTCTGGTGGCCACATCCATAGGCTGCTGCACTGCCAAGCAAGAGGCTGTGCCTCTCTTGTGGTTCAAGTCCACTTTTAGGAGAAAGATGGGCAATCTCTTCCCATTAAGATTGACAGCCTCAAACCTCCAGTGGAAGCTCGTTCTGAGTCAGAACTGACACTACAGCCATGAGTGAATGACCCTGTCCAAAGTGTACGCCAGAGAAACAGCAGCTAGAGCAATTACATTTCTCTCCCCAAATACCTTCTCTTGCAGTTCCTTCTCAAGAGTAAGCTAATCAGATGATGATGTCCCTTGCATTGGTTCTGAAATGCATCTTTTTTTTCGCATAGTGGCCCCAACTTCAGCAGCCCCAGGGGAGGGGCCGTGCCTGTTCTAGGCATCGTGGGGGCTGGGAATGAGTCCACAGTTGGCAAAGGACTTTCTCAACATTGGAATTCAGTTGTCTGCTCTTTAGAATGTCTTGGTGGGTTCAGTACTAGTGTCCCCATTTTACAGATAACGAAATTGAGACTCTGGAGGCTAAGTGCCTTGCCCAAAGTCTTACTAGGAGTAGCTCCCTTGTCCACTAGGGGCTGGGAAGGAGGCTCCTCAATGTCTGAGGGCCTGGCCCAGAGCCTGTCCCAAGTCTCCAGCACTTGAGAACTGCCAGGCCTGCCTTATAAGCCCAAAGGTCGGGTGGCCGGCTTGGTACTGGGCCGGACCTTGTAGGGAGACAAAGTACTCCTGCCAAGCCCTCGGCCCCAGGACAACCTTTCCTGCCTGGCTAAATTTAGCAGCTCTAGGAATGGGAGAAGGAGCCCTGGTAGCACTGTGGGGAAAGCGCCCAGATGCTAACTGAAAGGTCAGCAGTTCAAATTCACCAGCTCGCTCTGCGAGAGAAAGCTGTCACTGTGTTTTTCTGGGAAGATTACAGCCTTGACAACCTCACGTTGACAATTATCTGTCCTATGGGGTCGCTGTGCATGGGAAACGACTCAACAGCAATGAATTTGGTTTATGGAGCAAGGAGGAGGCGGTGTCCATCCCCTCAGCCGCTGCCCAGGCCCTTCATGTGCCTAAGTGTCACTGGACCTTCTGGGGAGCTGAGGCATTCTGAGTCTAGCTTGCAGGGGCCAGACTTTCACCCTCATAGGAGGTCAGTCCAGCTCTTCACATCAGTCAGGACTACTTTGGGTGTCCAAGGGCCACACTCAATGCCATACAGCTCCCCATACACCTAGAACAGGACCCTGAGCCAACCTCGTTGTGACTGCAGGGAGAGCCAGGGGCCAGCAGTGGTCCTCAAGGTTGGCTGCCCTCATTGCGTCTTCCAACTCCCACCGTTCTCCTTTTCACAAGCACCTGGCAAATTACTCCTGCCCAGTGAGTCTGATATAGGCCATGGTCTTCTCAATCACTTGCTATGCATCTTGACAGAATAATCAGTGCCTTTGAGTTGTTGTGCTAGAGAAGAGTATTGAACATATCATGGACTGACACAAGAACAAATAAATCATTCCTGGAGAGGGGAAAACCAGTTTGCTCCTTGAAGGTAAAGATTTTGAAGTTCCATCCCACACACTTTGGGCATGTTGCCAGGAGGGACTAAGAGAGGACATCATGCTTGGAAGGGTAGAGGGTCAGCGCAGAAGAGGAAGAAGACCCTGGATGAGAATTGACACAGTGACTGTGGCAAAGGGGTCAGGTGTGTCAGAGATGGTGAGATTGGCTCAGGACAGAGCAGGGTTCAAAGTCGTCGTTCAAAAGGATCACTATGACTCATAATAGACTAGACAGCACATAACAGCAACGACAGTTTATCCTCCTCCATCTCCTGGTAGTTACCCCGTGCTGCGTGCGCCCCACACCTCATGCCTCTGAGGCCCCTCTCCTGGCTCTTGACCACCACACACATGCCACACACCTTCTCCCCTACTCCTACCCTTTTTAAAAAAAACCCTCAAACTATATACTGAGGTAAAATTTACTTATACTTGTAAACAAATGTACTTATTTTAGGCACACACTCTGATGAGCCTTGACCAATGCATACATTCTTTTAACCACTGCCCCAGCTGGCTTACAGCACTCCCTTAGAACATGCTCCCTTGCAGCCCACTCCCTCCATCCTCCAGACCCAATCACTGCTCTGCTTTCTGTAACCTTTTCTAGTTTTGTGTAGTCTTTTCTAGAACTTCAGATGGACTCTCTGGACAGTGTCAACACCTGATGGACTTATCTGCTAAGACAGGAAGCTCCCTCCACCCAGAAGAGTCTTGGAAGAAAGGCCTGGTGATATACTTCCAAAACTCAGACATTGAAAACCCTGCTGAGCACACGTGGCGGTCATGAGTTGAAGTCAACTTGATGGCAACTGATGGAACTGCGGTGATAAAGATTGCGTGTCAACTTGGCTGCCTGTGAGTGTCTGGTTCAGAAGTTAGATGCAGTGATTTCCTTGATGAGCTATTACTTTCTTTGATGAGTTCTTAGCTATTGTAATCACCTCCATAATGAGATCTTCTGTAAGTGGCCAATCACTTGAAAGTATGTGCCCTAGGCGGTGTGGCCTCCATCAAAAGTACATGGACACGTGACATAGCTTTCTCCTATTTGCTCAGTCTGGATCCTGCATCACTGTCTGATCGCTGGTTCTTTGGACTTGATCCAGCAGCTTTTCTAGCTATATTCCTTCCTATCTTAGATTTGATAACCTCAGAAGCCAGCATCTGGCTATGTGAACTGCTGATCTTGGGTTTTTCATGGCTGCAGTTATGTGAGGCAAGATTAGCCTTTAGTCTGCCAGCTGATCCAGGGTCTCGGGACTTGCAAACCTCTCCAAGTGTATGAGCCATTTCCTTTAATTACTATCTCTCTCTCTACCCGCCCCCCACTTTTAAAAAGTGTGTGTGTTGTTGTTGTTATTGTTATGTGCCGTCGAGTCGTTTGTGACTCATAGCGACCCTATGTACAACAGCCCTAAACTGTGCTCTATCCTGTGCCAGTCGCATTGCCTCCGACACACTCATCCCGATTACCCCAGTCACTGAAT